CTTTTCTGTAAGGTTTTATTTAAAATAAAGGAATAAAACTTGGATAATATAAAACTTTGAACCCTAATATAAATTGTAATGCTAATTTCATTTGTATACATTGATTGTAGGATTGCTTAATTAAATTTTGAAAGTAACAAAGTAAAATCTCGTAACATGCACAGTACAGGGGTGGCCATAATTTTAGGGTTAATTACCTGTGTTTTATGTAATTTCAGTTTTTGGTTTTTCATTCATAGCTTTATATATTTACTGAAGTTGAATGCTGACTTTAAAAATTATTTTAAAATTAATAAATGGGTTTTTTACGTTTTTAATGAGCAGGCTGATGACAACAAAAAAATCACCATACTATCTTTTGTACAACTTTGCATGTTTGTTCCATACATTAAAAGAGAGTAATTTCCTTGTATTTGTATCCTCTATTGCAAGTATTTTTGCATCTAATACTACTGTATGTTTGATTATGTGTTAATCCTTGTCCATATCGTGATTGTGTAAACCTAACATTTTACTAAACATGACAGTGTTCCATAGTAGTTGTTTAGTTACCTTTAACAATTAAAAGAAACAAAAAATGTAAATAGAAAGGCTGTGGGTGGCGTTGTTTTGTACGAGTGAGTGAGAAAATGTTTAAACTTTGTGGTTTTTTTTAAAGAAAACAAATACCACTCATCCGTTACGTACATAGACAAATATATCGGTGAAAACATGTTGACTTGCAAGAGAAAAGGTTATGGAACATGTAAGAAGTGAATATCAGCCACTACGATTCCCATTACTTTTTCTAACCACTAATAAAACATTCCTTTCACCACAAAAATGTTATTTTCTAAACATTTAACTCTGTTGACAGACAAATAACTGAGTTTTCATCAGGAATTAAAAACGAAATTGACTTGGTCCTTCAACTCATTAACATCTGTCTTTTCTAGAAAAATTTCTATCTAAAAGGTTATTTATCACTGTTACTAATATGAAGATTTAATTTCAGTAAGTGGAATTTGTTATAACCCACTATTGTTTCTAGAGTGTGTGTGTATGTGGATTATATTAATGTTGACAAGTTAAGTGTAAATAACATATTTTATATTAAATTAATAAAAATGTATATTTAAACTATTATTTAATCATTAATGTGTTTTAAAATTGTGAGATAGTATTGTTTTGATTTAGTGTCGGTATTGTTTTTTATATCACTTAATATTTATCTTGTGCATTATTTAATGTTAAGAACTTCCTTTTCCAGAATTAAATATGGCCTTACCTGATGTGAGCCAAAGGCTGAAAGTAGTCGTGTGATATATTTGTGTGTGAGAGCATTTTAGGAGAATAAAGTAGTTTCTTTATATGTCTTGTATGAATTTACCCTCAGAAAAGCATTTTATCTAAATAATTATGAAAACAATCATTATATCCATAACCTTCATAGAAGATAAAAGGTGAACTGCTTTTTATTTCTCTCTGCATCCTCGGGTAGTCAGAATGTGTACAACGACCTCAGTTGAGAATTTAAATACACTTTGAGACTTCAGACAGAAAAAGGGGTGGCCACCTTGTTTTACTATTTAGATATGCACTTTGATTTCTCAATTACATATTAATAGTTATGTTTGTGTTGACCTCATTTAGCTGTTTAAATGCACTGTCCTCAGTTAGATAGTAAAAGTTGTGTGTGTTGACCTCATTTGGCTGTTTAGATGTGCAACTGTGTATCTTTAGTTAGATAGGAAAATGTTTAAAATCTCATATGTTCAAACTAGCCAGAATTTTAAGGCTACATGTTGGTACTGTGTGTTTCAAGGCTTAAACTATGTGGAAAGTTTTAAATACAAAAATAAAGTTTCATCAGTTAAATATCAAAAGTATGTAATCAGTCCTCATTTAAGCACCTTGTACAAATGTAATATGTGTGTGTGAGATTTTATTTTTTATATATATTTTACAGTGCTTACTGTAGAAATACACACACACACAACAAAAAAAAGCGTAACCATAACAATACATTTTGTTATGTATTGCATGTAATTTAGTGATCTGTATTATATATAGTATTTCTTATAGATAGTGATAAAGTTTTACATCTGGATGCATGATTTAAAAAAAAAAACAGCATTATTACAATTTTATAC